GACTAAACAACAACAACTATCAGCCCACTCCATAGGTTAGAAAGCTGAAGGCAAAACTGTAAAATCCCAAGTATAATTTGGCCAGCTATTTGATTTAAAATTGCCAAGCAACCCAAAAAATACAGATCAAGCAGACTTTATTTCTTCACAGTTGTTGCAAGGAAAGAAAAGAAAAAGAAGTTTTTCTGCCCCGGCTGTGTTTCCACCTAAATGCATGCAATGAGCTTGCCTGTTTTTCCCAAGCTATTGCCCTCAACATGAATGAGGATTACAGTTCCCAAGATCTCCAGCCATACTGATTAGGTTTTGTAGCCCTAACGTATTTGAAAGGGACCAAATGGATGAAAACTGGCTTAAATTGTGTTGAAATTTGATTCTTACAATTTCGTTTGCTGAGATCTTAGGATTGGCTCGCAGTTAGTCCTTAACAGGAAATCACTTAGGCAGCTGAATTCCACTGAATGAAAATGCGATAGGTAAGTAATCTGTCGATTGCAACTAAGTCCCCATATTTTCGGTGACAGCTAAATAGTCTTCTCTCATGTAAAATTTTAATTCAATGCCAGCATAGTCTCTTCTGACTGATTCTACTGAGTTTCAGGTTTCTTTCAAACCTTCTTCAACATAATCTGCTGCTAGATTCATCCGACAGCCCCTGAGAGCTTTTATTACATCTTCCACATTTGCTTCCTTTCCCTTTAATTTTCGCCATTCTACCAGTGATTGCCTCAACTGTTCTTCCAAGTTATATGGATTAGCAGCCATAATCTTATCCAGTTTGGTATCTGAAATTCCAAGTTTTCGAGCGAGCATTTTCCAGTTCTTCCCAACGTGTTCACATATGATTTCAAAAGCTCTGTCCAGTTTATCTAGAAAGAAAAGCATACTCCATGTCAAATAGCTGAATTACAGTGGGACACCTATACACCATCTGTTATGCATCAAAATGTTTTATCTCTCCCTTGTCCTTCTCTGAAACTCTTGCTGGTTAGGGTTCAATGTTTACTCCGATTGGAATAAGGTCTGTACTGCCCATTACCATCCAAATGAAGTGTGATATCTACAAATTCTGCTTGATTTTTGACAGTCTCAATGTCATACTCTATGACAGCAGCTCTTAAAATGTGGTCTAGGGACCCCTAAGAGTCCCTGAGACATTTTCAGGGGGTCTGTGAAGTCAAATAAATATTTTAAAATTTCTAAGTTTTAATTTCTAATGCAGTAAATATCGATAGATATAACCCACATAAACCCACATAACCTCTTTGGGGTCCTCAATCATTTTTAAGAATGTAAGGTGTCCTCAGACCAAAATGCTTGAGAACCACTGCACTATGATATACTAATGAAGCAATACAACCTGGTCTTCTTTTCAGTTTCTCTAGAGTAACCATGATGTCCTAATTGCAGTGGGCCAAAGTGAGTGAAATCATCCCATCACCTGCTTTGTGTTCTCTTCCCATGCAAGGTATCAAAAGAAAAACATCCTATAATGGCATATTATTTTTAATTTCTGGGTGGGGTAGGGCGTGGATATCAGAAACAAAATGAATGTGGGGCTATTCATGCCCTCTTCTCCAAGCTTTCTGGGAATCTCAGACATTTTGTTATTAATCAGCATAGTACCACCTTTCCTGACTTGGTATCCTCCTGAACTAGCTGATGGGAGGTTAGTCCAAAGTAAACATAATGAGATTCATTACAGAACTGCCCCAAGATGATGATGATTTTAAATTTATTATATCTGCTCCCTCCAAAGGCTGAAACCTATTCTTTCCCAAAGTTTCCAGTTACTTTTCTTTTTATATAAAACTCCTGAGTAGGATTGAGCAACTGCAGTGCAGTACGGTGGTTGCAGTTAGCTAATGATATTCTTTTTCATATGTCTCTCTTCTCCCCTGCAGTTCTCTGAGGTGCCTCAAATTTATTTTTCAGGGGCAAGAGATCTCTGGGCACGGGAGGATGGGATGAGGGGCCAAGAACCAGCAGTTGAAGTGAGGCATCTTGCATGGACAGAAGCAACTTGCCTTTTGAACAAGACACTTTGGACTTATTCCACAGAACACTCCTATAACTCCTTATATTCCACAAATAAAACCCCAAAGAGTCCTGTAAGCACCTACAGATCAACCACAACTGTCTGAATATTTACCAAAAAGCAAATCCCCTCATAGCCAGTGGAATGTATTACAAACTAGCGCACGGAGGCCTGCAGCCCTGCCTCTCAAGGACCAAAGCTCACATCTTAAGATCAAAAAGAAAAAAGGCCAACCTACATTTCTGTTCAACATCTGGCTGATGCTCTGGATCGCCATCTGCTTCGATGAACTCTTCCAGTTGGGTTAGTAGATCTTCTCTTTTCAGAGTTTTGAGCATGCTTCTCAAAAACTCTACATTGTCACACGTAATTCTTTCCTGTTCCAGGAGAAGAGTGAAGAGCTCATTGCCGCTGTTCACGCCCTCCAGTTTTTTTTTACCAATATGGCTCTGGCAAAGAAATTTAAGAGTTGCAAGCTCCTCTAGGGACAAGGCCCTCGAAAATGAATTCAGTAAATCCAGAAAGGGATCCATTTCTGGAAACCTAGGAAGAATACAGGGAAGGTTCATAAGTTTTGGTCGAGAGAGTCAAACTTCAGGCACATTTTAAAAAACATTCTTTCTCTTTAATACGGATTCCCTCTTTTCCGGCGTATGCAACTTCGGGCTAACGCACACAGAAACTCCTAACCAAACAGAACCCTAAAACGAGAACTACAAAGTCATGAAAAACTGCGCGGTTGCTTCTTTGGACGAAACGCAGCTTTCCCTCCAGCCAACTACTGTAGTCGGCAGGCTTCTATTTCCACAACGCATCCGGTTCGATCCTTAATTACGTAAAGATCTTTTTTGACTTTCCTAAACTGCTCCCCCAAAACTCCAGGTCACGCTTTGCATGATCCTGACGAAATACGCTCATTTAAGAATCTGGATTTTAAAAAAGGGAAAGAAAAACCCGGAGACTTACTTCCTGCTTCCTCGACTTTGCCGCCTCCTGACGTAACATGAGGAAAAGGCTGCCCGAAGGACGCTCCGCCCCGCGCCTTTCGCGAGGGGTCGCTCCGGAGGGTGGCGCTGCTGCCCCGCTGTTACGACGAGCGTGTTCGATCCGTGCGCCGTCGGAGCTCGTCGGCGCTGAACGCGTTACGTACATACGGGATAGCGAAGACAAGTGGTTGCTTTTCTAGTTAAATACAGTATTAACGTGCTTTAAAAAGGACCGATGTCGCATGTCCGCTGGCTTAAAAGCATTTATGTTTTATTAAAAAGCCCGCATAAATTCATCAGTTGTTGCGATGAACGTGCAAGCGATAAAGAGCGGCATTTCTGAGTCGCCGTTAGGGTTCTTAGTTCCCACGGATTTCCACTGGGCAAATTTAAACATGCGTGGGACAGCAACAACCACTTAAAGTTGCTCAGCTCTGGCTTAACTGGAGCTGGACAGAGGATGTTTCCAGGTGAGTCTTGAGAAGGAAATGGTGGTGGTACTGTTGGGTGGAACATGTCCTCCTTTGAGAAGGCCAGCTTCTAGTATTCCCAGTCAGAACACAAGGTAAAGGTTGAAGTTTCGTCAAGTTGAGCCAACTCCTGGGGACTTCATGGACACATCCATGTAGCATCATATCAGCAGTATGCAGGATCAGGACAGTAAAGGTTTGCCATTGGCTTCTTCCTGGATGTTTTCTCCATTTCATAGTCTAGCCTAGTGCTTCTCAACCTCAGCAGCTTGAAGATGTGTGGAATTCAACTCCCATTTGCTAGCTGGCAAATTCTGGGAGTTCAAGTCCATGCCAGTTCAAGTTGGTGAGGTTGAGCAACATTGGTCTAGCCCACAGCCCTGAGGCTGCCTTGAGGTCACCCTTGGACTGGAAACCACAAGACAACCCTAGAGCTGTAGGCTAGACAATGAAACTGAGAAAACCTTGTGGTGTCAAGTACAAACCACCTCTCTTTTAGGTCAGCCATGTGCTGTTTGTTTCTTTATGTATCACATATTTCAATATTTGCCATACTAGGACTCCCAGAGGTTCAGGTGAAACAGAACAGAAACAATGACACCACTAAAGTAATTCCATAAAATGATCAAAGGTAACATGCAGATCAACAAAAACAATTTACCAGGGTCCTACCAATGGAATCCATATCCACCATCATTTAGCAGAAAATAGGCCTGAGTGGTATGGATATTTCTTTTCTCTAATCTAGGAGTGATGCAATCTATCTTTATGACTTTGTCCCCAATGTACTAACAGTAGTTACCATACAAGATGTGGGAGTGATTCTAATTCATTCTACATTGAAAATGCAGTAGGTGTTAACATGAGATCCCCAGGCATAGTAAAAAAAAAAAAAAAAAAGGCTGTTGCAGGCATCCTCTGAGCTGCATGAAGATTTTTCTCTGCAAATTGAGATGGGACTGTGGTTGTTATATTTCTGCTCCCCTAGAAGAAATTACAAGGAAAATATTGATGCAGGCTTTCATAGCCTGTGTCAATCGAGTGGTGATAAGCTCCTGGGCTAATAGGCTGTGATCTAATTATTTGGTATAATTCCTACTACATTATTTTGACGCTTCTTTTGTTTTAATCGATGTGCTAATAATTTACCTGCTTATTCACCAGATTCCCAGTATTTCAATTTAAGTCTCTTTAGGCTAAATTCAACTTGATATCCATAAAATGTACCCCCAAATATATTTTACTATAATTTGACTCTAAGGTATTGTTAAAATACATAAGGAAAAGACATTTGACTTCGTATTCCAAGTTCAGCTGAGATCAAAAAGAATACCGTCCCCCCCATGGGGAACTGGTGATCTTTCAGATGTTGGAGAACTACAATTTACAGAATTCCTCCCATTGGCCATGCTGGCTATAACTGCTGGAAGCTTGTCACCTGAGCCTGACGTCATGGGTTGAGAGAGAGTGACTGGCCCAAAGTCACGCAGCTGGTTTTGTGCCTAAGGTGCGACTAGAACTCACAGTCTCCTGGTTTCTAGCCTGGAGCCATAACCGCTAGACCAGTGTTGTCCAAACTTGGCCACTTTAAGATGAGTGGACTTCATCTTGAACTCCACTCATCTTAAAGTGGCCAAGTTTGGACAACACTGCGCTAGACCAAACTGGTGTTAACATATATGTATTAACATATTTAAATGTTACACTGATACTCTTTTTGTGTGGATGGAATTAATTCCCTCTTTTTCTGGGATGCATCAGTGGCCGCCTTGGTGAGAATTAGATGGCATCAGTCTTTTAATGAATTGCATGCGTTTCCCAACAAGGAAGGAAGATCTTTTTGAGAGGAAAGCTCTCCACTGTGGAAGCAGCTTTAAGGTGCTTTTAAAAACATGGTGCTGTTGACCAAGCAACTTTCAACGGGCAGTTGGATGAGTCTCTGCCTTCTTGAATTTTTTCCCTCTGAACTGCTCTCCAGTAGAGAGAGAGATGCAATGACCTGGCTTAAGTGATAAAATCCTCACTAATAACCTGGGATGTGCTGAGATTTGTGTTTTGGCTGCTGCTTCATTCTTCCCTTTGTGCAAACAACAAAGGAGGAAACCACAGTTAGCTGTATTTTCCTGGTACGTATGTCCTGGGGATTACAGTTTACAGCTCCCAACTTAAAATCTGGCTTCCTTTCTTGGTTTGTAACGACTGTTGCTTGGTTCTACCCATCCTGGATTTTGACAGTCTTTTTTCCCCTCTTGTATTCTCTGTTCTTTCTCAGTGAAAAGAACAGCTGTACATGTCAAGAAATCAGAGCTACTGCTGAACAGTCTGGAAAACCCACTGATTCCTAATGCAGGGTTGGTTCTGCTATATGCTGTTATGTGGTCAGATTCCTATTCTAACTTGGTATGTTTTTCTTTCTGTTATGAGTCATCTCTCCTTCTCAGGAAGTGCAAACAGTTTTGCTTTGTTAAAATTCTGTATAAAAGGGAGTAGCCTTGCCCATTTCCAGAGAGTATATTATCTTCAGTTCTGTCAATACATTGTACAGGATATGACTGTATGATTACTCATACGTATCCAGGATAACACATTAAAATTAATGGTATACTTCTGTCTCATTCTCCCTCCCTTTTTAAACGGAAATTATTGCTCTCTGTTTTAGCAACCCCAAATTTCATATTGAGGCTCAGACATAAGCACTGTCTGTATTCAAAATGCATGCCAAGCATATTGCCAGTAACCAGATTCTCAAAATGTATGTAGTCACTCACTAATGTTACCAAGTACAGTATGACTATTCAACACAACTTTGAAGCATAGGCGTGGGAATGCATTACTAGGAAAAAGATACAGCACGAGATAAGTCAAATTAGTAACTTTTATTGTTTAGCTTTAGCTTGTATACCCTGCTTTATTACCTCAGGGCAGATAACATTCAGAGCAGTGTAGATAATTTTCCCTTATTTTCTCTTCATTAGCCTGAAACCGTGTTGAAGAACACTACATTTGCTCAGCCATCAAATGTGGTAAGTTAGTTTAGGGTAGGCAACCTGGTGCTCTCCCTTCCAGATGCTGTGGGCTTCAAATTCCGTCCGTTCTAGCCAGCACCACAATCCAGGGCCAGCCACGTGAAATATTTCAAAAATGAAGTTAGGCTAGATCTACAGTGCAGCAACAGTGCTGCCTTGTTGTTATGCAATTTGAGAAGTTTTCTATCATCTTGTTGCAGATAAGTGCAAATATGTTACTGCTGCCACTGTAGATTTTGGGTATATCATCATCCAGGGAGGCCTGAGCAGGGCTGAAATTACCGTGAAAATGACCCTTTCTGGTTGCTGCACTCACTATATGCTGCTGTTTGCAAGCGATAGAAAGCTTTCTTTGATGCTAGTGGGATTTTTTTTCCAACTGGAAACAGCAAGTTTGGGGTGTAGGGATTTTTTGCAGAACTCTGGCGGAAGTCTTAGATAATCTTTCACTTTCTTGCCCTCATCATGTTTTATAAAGCATCCCAGCCCTGCAGTAGCAATTTCACCACTCAAATGTGAAACTTAAATACACTAAAGCAATTCATGTTTATTTTGCTCCTAACAGTTGCATGCATATTGGCAAGTTTCACACACACTATTAAGTCATAATGTGGCTTGCTCCAGCCATTGCAATTTGTAAGTCTTATCTCAGTCCACAGAAAGTCCATGAAAGTCCACAGAAAGCCCATGTTTTAAAGAATCTTATGCTGATAACTTACCATTTTAGCCAAAATACCCTATTTGGGGTGATACAGAAGGCATATTGTATACATTTTATCTTCCCTGTTTGAGGAGATGTGTTCAACAGGACCAACCCAATCTTGATCAGCTATTTATAGATTCCCAGGGTGAGTATATGTACCTTATGTAAGACAGGAAGTTACTGTTGAGTTGCACAGCCTTAGAAATCTATACTGAATGAATGAATGATCATTAGTATTCCTTAAAAAATCAGTGCCTTCAAAGTATTTTCTCCTCTCTTTCATCAAAAAGACTGCTTTTGTTTATAGCCAGGATAGCAAGGAGAGTTTGGACAACCTAATGCAACCAAATACTTTATTTCAATATTTCAAGGGATGTCTTAGTTAAAGATCCTGAATGAGGAAAACCAAATCTATCTATCTATCTATCTATCTATCTATCTATCTATCTATCTGTCTGTCTGTCTGTC